TATTTAAAGAACTTGTCCAATCTTGAGATGGCCGCCTGCACGGTGTAACAGAGGCAGCATGTTGATCAGTGAGAGGGAGGACAACAGACTGACGAACCAGCATCCCTGAAAATGAGGTCAGCTGAGCAGCGAAGTATAGGCACCTTGATGGATTTGAGGCTGAATGAGAGGAACTCCAGCCTGCACACAAGAGGTGAGGTTGATGCGATGTGAACAGTTGAGAGAATATAGAAGGCAAGATTTCTGCTAGCCTAGACCATGGACGAGGAAGCACGGCTTACTGCTGTGATGCGCTCGGAGCACCCATGTTCTCGAAATAATTACCAAAGTCTGCCTGCAGTCAGTCAGCAGCAGACACAGGAAGCGCAGGACACAGGACACATGTTGGACACAGGACACAGGGCACAGGGCACATGCCACAGCCAGTACAGGTAAATGGAGGTGAGGGGGGCAAGAGTGTGCATCACAGTGAGGAGGTGTGGGGGGCTAGAGTGTGCACCACAGTGAGGAGGTGTAGGGGTGAGTGTGAGAGCGAGAGGCTGAGCACACCTGTTGCAGATAGTCAATGACCTCAAATGCAAGCTCCTTTGCTGGCTGCTGTGACTTGTCGTCTAGGAGAACAGTGGCGCTGCAGGGGCAGAAGCAGGGGAGAATGGATGGACACGTGGGAAAAACAGGGGGGAGGGGGGGGCATTGCAAGAGTGATAGGATCTTATTTCAGACGCATGGGGCAACAGACAAAGGTGGAAGTGCATGAGGTAAGGATTAAGGCCACCGACGGGGGTTGGAGGCATGTGTATGGGGAAGATGTTCCCTGAGATGTTCACTGATATGTTCACTGATAAGTTCACAGATATGTTCACTGATATGTTCACTGAGATGTTCATGGATATGTTCACTGGGATGATCACTGAGATGTTTTCTGAGATGTTCACTGGGATGATCACTGAGATGTTTTCTGAGATGTTCACTGGGATGATCACTGAGATGTTTTCTGAGATGTTCACTGGGATGATCACTGAGATGTTTTCTGAGATGTTCACTGGGATGATCACTGAGATGTTTTCTGAGATGTTCACTGGGATGATCACTGAGATGTTTTCTGAGATGTTCACTGGGATGATCACTGAGATGTTCTCTGAGATGTTCACTGGGATGATCACTGAGATGTTTTCTGAGATGTTCACTGGGATGATCACTGCGATGTTTTCTGAGATGTTCAGGGTTCCCTACCTGACGAGATTCTCTCGGACGCTGTCAACAGTGCCCACTGCAAAGCGCAGCTGCGAGCGCAGCGCCACAACATCTGCCACAGGCGCACCACGGCAGCGTCAGTGAGGCGGGAATTTACGGTGCACTGGCTACAGAAAGTCAGGGGGGAAGTTCGGTTTGGAGGTGGAACAGTGGCACGGACATCGATAGCAGGGTCGGAAGGAAATCCAAGGCAGTGCTTCAGAGCAAGCTGATATTTGGCCCGGTCTGCAACACGATGGCCATGTATTTTAGAAGAAGTGCTCACCGAGCGAGTCTGCCTGTGATACGATCGCCTGGAGAGCCAATTGCAGGCGGACAAGTGGCACGACGTAGAAGAAGAGAGGCTTGGTGGGAGGGGCCACTGTGAGTGGGATGTCGTACTGGGGGGTAGGGGGGCAGAGAGACAGGAGACGCGAGGGCCAATACATAAGGACACGAGGCGCTATACGGGAATGGGACGGGCCACTGTGAGTGGGATGTCGTACTGGGGGGGTAGGGGGGGCAGAGAGACGAGGAGGGGCAGAGATATAGAGCAGCCGTTGATGAGCAAATGCAAGGGGTAGCGGGACAGAGTGGAATGAGGGATGGGTTTGGAAGCAAACAGACCATACCAGAGCGACGGGAAGTGCCAACACAGCAAGGCCAGCACCAATGAGCAGCCGCCTTGTGACAACGCCGTCTGAGTCCTTCCCTCCGCCCGCGCCCTCCCCCTCCTCCCCCTCCTGCGCGCTCAGTAGCTCCGTCTCGGTGAATCCCCACGACCGCACGGCCCCCTTCTTGCCATCCTTGCCTGCAGGTGAGCGGCACGCAACAGAAAGAAAGGTTAACAAGAGCTCGGAGGCGATAGAGAGAGCGGTGGGAGCGAGAATGACGCAAGGGTTTAGGTTGATGTCTCTGTGAACCCCCACGACCGCACCGTGCCCGTCTTGCCATCCTTCCCTCCAGGTTGATGGTTCAGGAGGGTGCGAGTTGGAGGGGGTGTCAATAACGACTCAGCGGAATGTGAGGGAGAGGGGCGTAGGAAGGAGCCGCACAGAGATTGAAGTCGAGGAGGGAGGGTAAGCTAGGAGAAAGAGGGGAGAAAGGGGGTCGAGGCCAGCTAGAGGCAAGCTAGGCGCAGGAGCCAGCGACTGGGATTGATTGGGAAGGAGAGGACGGAGTGCTGGAAAGAAAGGAACAACGGGGTTGGTGGATTGTTCAATTCTGAAGTACCCGTGACAATGGATCCAGAGGTATTGGTTTCACACGCGCCAGTGCCGTCAGTGCATGCTACAGGACGCACAGGTGGCGAGCGAGAGAGGGGCACATCGGAATTACCAGTAACAACAGGGCCTTGGAAGATGGTCTCCCGTGCGCCCGTGCCGTCGATGTACACGTCACTGTTGGGCTTCATGCGGATCAGGTTGCCCGCCTTCTCCAGCCGCCGCTGCTCCAACTCCAGCCGCAGCGCCGCCGCCTCCGCCTCCGCCGCTGCTAGCTGGTGAAGCGAGCAGGAAACAATGGGGATAATGGGGGGAGCGAGGTACATGGGGATAATGGGGGAGAGAGATGCATGCGGAGAATGCGAGACGGAGGAGGAAGCCGTCGGCGAGAGGAGGAAGGAGGAAACGATAGGAGCATTGACAGGGCGAACAGGAGTGCATTGCAGAGTATTTCCATGGCAGGGAGGCAACCGGGAGTCAGGAAAAGGTGTTTGCGAAGGTGGAAACTGGAGGCGTCTCACCTTTGCTGCCAGCTCTTCTTTCTCCGTATCCGTCTGTTGTTGCTGCTCCGTTTTTTGTGGCGTGACTGACGCCTGAAAAGCGGGAAATAAAAGGAGGGTGAATGCAATGTCACCGCACTCTATGATAAGCATCACGATGCGCACCATTTGCACGTATTGTTTGGCCCTAAAACAGTGTCGATAAGAATCATAATGTTCATCGCTCTGCTGACTTGTTCGTTTTTGGCGGCTATTTGACCTCGTGAGTTTGCTCATTTTGCTCTGAGTAGTTTTCGTCTACGCGTATTCATGCTGTTACCTCATCGTTCGGCCCTGCTCGCACCGCCAGCCGCCGACATCTGGCGGCCGATCGCTCTACTACGCCACGTCGCCCAGCGACGAATCCGGAGCAACTATTGGAATTCCATCGAGCAATGCTACCGCTCCTGCATCCCTGGCAAGACACCGGAGCCATTTGCACGCGAGCAGGCGAGACGAGTCCCAGCATGGTTGGAAATGCGCTGGCAGATCAAACCTAGATTATGGATTTTGATTAGACTTGTTGGAGGTGTGTCAGAAATAGGAGCTGAGCAGGAAGCAGCTGCATTTGCAAGCAGGGAAAGGAATGCGCAGTACGTTTCTGTTTTGGAGTTGGAGATTCATTTGCTGTTGCTGGCTCCTGGAAAATGACTTGGGGAATGCCAGCAGTATCTTTGTGGGCTACTTGTCTACGTGGCTCAACAGAAGCCTCTCCTAGGCGACACGTGTATAGAATGTTGTGTAACCTGTTGTGGTGCAAAATCCGCGTCATTCATGCTCCTCGATATAGCCCGACGGATGTCGTGCAGAGAATCCCAAATGCTGAAGTACATCCCTTACGGCAGACGTACAAACGGAAATGTTTTCCTAGCGGGTTCTTCTGCCTAAATTCAAGAATTCAAGAAAACAAATATTCAAAAGCTCGAGCTGGGCGCGAATCTATCCTATTGGGGCGCGAAGCTCTCCTATTGGTTCGCAAGGCTGAGCCTGGTCAACCATTTGAACACCCAAACGCTAGCCGCACAAGCAAGCTCAAACGAGCTTCCCCCGTTGCTGCTGCCGCTTCGGACAGCATCAGACCGAAATGATGCACCTGCGCTGATTTCGAAGGCATGGCATGGCATGACATGTCGAAGCCATCATGGGGGATGGGTCGATCGCCTGAAACCATCCCGCGCAGATTTTATTCCGAAGCCACTGGATGTGCAGTGGAGAATAGGGGTACAGGGGGGGAGTGGGAGTGGGGGTGGGGGAGGGAGGGGGAGAGGAGGGGGGTAGGGGGTGGGGCTTGGGGGGTATGCATGGAATAGGAATGGATGTTGCTGCTGTGAATGGAGATCCCTGATTGGCTGCCTTGATGCTGCGCTGGTGGCAAGTGTCATCTAGTCATCGACTCTAGTGGACAAACTGAAGTCGCTTTCCTGCCAGTTGGTTGGTGGCGTGGCAGCTAAGGCTGTTCGTCCAGGCTGTTCACCAAACTTCAGGACCCACTAAGGGCCCCAGAAAGTCGTCGCAGACGTCGCATAGGTCGCAAAACCTACATTATTTGCAGCTGCTTGGCTTCGTGCAGCCGCCAGGGGTTACATTATTCTTCGCTGGTGAATTCGCCGGCCATTGCGACCCGCCACACCCGCCTTTCACCCATCCTTCTAACCTATGGCGGATGGACAGGCTGACCGCCGCACTACACTGGCAGCATCTAGGTTAGGCACATGGCAGCAGTGACGGACTGACTGCTTGCGGTCAGTCATGTACGGTACAGTGCAGCACGGGGCTTCCCTTGCTTCGCCTCACCGTGCCTTGTTCCCTGGCCGCTCTTCACGGAACGAACATTTTCCACTTTTCCTCCCACTCGCCTCGCCGCTCGCTCCCTCTTTTCCAACCTGCCATTCCCCGCTCCCGCAAGAAACGCGTTGGGGGAGACGTCCGCTTGAAGGAAGCTCTCCTGCTGCCACTCCCCGCATAACCCCACTGATAGTGCAACAGCACCGTTCTTGGATGGCCGAACCTCAAGGTCCCTGGTTCAGCCATTATTTTTTTCCAGCTAGGGTTGTTGGAGCATATGGGAAGCGAGGCTCACACGGCTTTCAGAAGCCCTGCAGCAGATACAAACTCCCTGCTGGGGCTTTCTTGCTCTCAAACCCGTACTCCAGCTAATTCGACGGATGCTGATCTTGCACTGGAGCGCCGTCTTATTTCAGGCCAATCCACCAACAGCAGCACGCTTAGGCTCAATAATCAAAATCCAGCCGGTTATATCCTGAATGCGACATTATATCGGCGCGCTGTAAGCTGTCTGCCCAGTACTGGCGACGTGTCGTTGTCCCCTGGTGCTCGGCGGCTAGCGGATTTATTCCTAGCGTCCATTCTTAAACGTACCTCCGCGCGAACGAGGGGGTGGCGTGCGAGTCTTGGCCAGCGGAAGAGCAGTCGAGCAGATCAGCTTCGGCCTTACCGGTCTAAGGCCGGTGTTAAGGGGATTAGGAAGACGGTCGACGCATCTCGGACGGAGTCTCGGGCTCGCGCCGACGGGAAACATTCGGTCAGCTTCACTGAAACGAAGTCAGTTCTTCAAACGCTTTCTCCGTCTGTTTTCGGGAATATTGATTCTAGCGTCTCGGCTGACGCCGCCATCGCTGTCGCCGTCGCTCGAGCAGCAATGGCTCCCGCGTTTAGAGTGACGGAAGGTTCGGCGAATAGCCCTTCGGAACCTCGCGCGGCTGGAGCTAAGGCTAATGCCTCCGGCAGGCCGGCGATGGTGGAAGCCGTGAGCAGTGCGAGCGGTTGCGGTTCTGATAGACTCCAAGCGTCTGCTCCTGTTGCTGCCGTTTCCTCGGATATGGTCGAGTCGGCCTCGCAAGAATCACAGACAGCCAGGGTAGGTTTGCAGCTTCGCTCATGCCATTCGCGTTTCGGTGCTCCTGGCTCTGTCTCAGTCCGCTTCCCGTACGTTTCGCGTTTCGGTGCTCCTGTCTCTTCCGTTTCCCGTGCGGTGCTTCCCGGGTTAGCGTCTTCTCGCTGCATCCTAATAGTGCGGAGTACATTCTTGGGACCTCCGTCGTTCTTAGTTTCTTCTTCCTATATCTGTTCTCTGGGCCACTCTCGGTGTGCAGACTCCATTCATAAACGACCCGTGTCATGCGCGGATAAACGCCGATCTGGCTGCGTGTGACGTGGCCGCGAGAGTGGTGGCGCATGCTGACGTGGCAGCTGAGCTGGATGGGAATGGACACACCCACGAGCACGCCCGATGCTCGCCTGTGCTTCGTCGCAAACCGATGGACGTGCCTTCGAAGAAGGTTCGCCAGCTCTTTGCCTCGGGAGAGGATAAGGGCGCGGGATTGGACGACGGGGAGGAAGACGGCGCAAGGGGGACTTGGACCGAGTCCTTAGAGCCTGAAAGCCAGTTCTCTGATATGAATGTGCTTATGACGAGCGGTAGCGACGGAATGACGCTCGATTCGTTGATTGGGGGTGACGCCCTAGAGGTGAAGGGAAGTGGGAAGGAAGAGGGGAGTGAGGAGGCAACAGAGGAGTTTTTGGAAGAGATTGAGTTTGAGATTGAGGAAGAGGAGGTGGAGGAAGAGGAGGACGCCGAAGATAAGGGTAAAGGGAAGGTGGAGGAAAGTGACAGTGATGAGGACGATGACGATGACGATGATGAGAGTGAGGATGAGGAGGGGGCGGAGGAAGATGATGAGGAGAATAGAGATGAGGGGGAAGAGGAAGAGGAGATGGAGGATGAGGGGGAGAGGCTGGAGGACGGTTATCAGATAGTTCTGAAGGTTGGTCAGGTGATGCTGCCGTGCAAGGTTAGGTACGACAACGAGGAGATCGTCCAGATAGTGAAGGCAGTGGACGATTCGGAGATAGTAGAGGTGGTGGATGACGTGGCAGATAACGATAACGTGTCACTTCTTGACGTGGACAAGCGCGCGGACTGCCAAGGGCACGTGCGAACCTGCACGTCCCTTCCTGTGTCGAAAGACAACCCGCCACGTGTCCTCTCCCTTTCCATGGACGACTCCTGTCCTCCGTCTCCCTCCTCGCCCACATCCCCCTTCCCCCCCATCTCCCACTCTCCGCCTCCCTCCGAATCCCTAGAGCAAGAGCTCGCATTCCCAACCATCCCCACCGCTCCCTCCCCACCCCCTCCTAAGAGCATTCTCAAACCTTCGTTTGTGGAACGCAGTAGTAACGCATCCGCAGCATGCGGAGCCAGTGTTGACCTCAAGGGAGACTTGAGTCGGAAGCGGCAGCGGGATGGCAGTCAGAGGGACAGTGCGGATGGGGAGAGGAAGGGGACGCAGGGGGGGGTGTGTGCGGAGTCGAGGGGGTTGCGCCCTACAGCACGGGAGCGCGTGCAGAGGCAAATGGCGGCCGCAGAGGCAGCAGTGAAAATGCTGGCGGACAGATGCAAGGTGAGTCGCTGTGGCGTGGAAAGGAAGAGGGGGAGGGGGGAGGGGGGGGGGGGGCGGGAGAGGAGGGGGGGGGGGGGGGGGGGGGAGAGGAGGGGGATGGGCGGGAGTGGGGTTTTGGGATGGCAGGAGGGGGGAATGGTGGGGTTGCACATTTGTGTGGTGGCGGAATGTGGGATCTTGGTACCTGGAAAGTTTTCTACTCTAATCATTTTTGCTGTGTGTGCATGTGTGCGTGAATGCTTGAACTCTACATTGCAGGTGGATTTTGGAAATGCTGGATCATGCTCCTTGGCTGCTGATGCCATGCACCAGATGGAGCTGCTCTGCCAAGCAGTCTCAGACGTCACTAAGGTATTTATCTTTTCACGATTTTGAATGACATGAGGTTCAGAAGGCAGCAAATCTAGCAACATGGTTTGACCTCCCTCTCAAGTTGCCTCTGCTTTCTCCGTCCATTATTCACCCTCGTATTCTTTGCCGCTGGTTGTTTCTGCCTGTTCCCCTCAGCCACGCAAGCGGCTTCGATTTGCTGATGAGCTTGGCAAGGAGCTGAACCATGTTCGCTTCATTCCACCAAGAATGTGAATTTTTTTTAGCAGCTGACCATTTCTCTGCACCTGGCTAGGTGTCCCAGATTTGCATTTTCTGCGAGGTGCTCTTGTGGCTAGATTGGTTCCTCTGCTTGTGAATGCATGTCCCTATAGCTGTCTGCTAGATCTTGACATGATTGCTTGCAACCAATTATTGTGATATTTCATTTGATAAATAAAACAAAAGTCTTGCAATGAACGACGAAGCGTGATTTACACGGCAACACACGATATTGTCGCACTCCGCATGGTGCAATCTCTAGCTCAATCGCACCGAACCAAACCACACGTCCGCACCAGATGGCAGATTTTTCTAGCCACTATTGCGCGGAAATCGACCGGGCTCGATGTAACTCCGTCGCGAATGTCTGCGCTGGACCTCCTTATCCTTCTCGTCGCAAAGTGACAATATCGGTGCACCAGTCTGCTGAACTGCTGCCTACCTCCCAGTCGGCCTATTTGCTGCTTGCTTCCACTCCCTCTCCCTTTCACTGCAGCAATTCCTTCCAGTAATCAGTGATTTCACCAAACCTTGCTCCTTCGCCAAATCGTATTCTCTAGCTTCTGGTTAGCCAGTTTCCGCACACTTTGCTACCGACTCGTCTGTAACACTGATTCCGGGCGATACTTTCCATGGTGCACTGACTGCCAGTCCCCTACGGCGTCGGCCTCACGTAACGGATAGCCGTACCTGATAGACCTTCGACCATGGATGCCAACCGCTCGCAGCAGCGCGCACCGCAAGCGTCCGTCACGGACCCGTTCTTCGACCTGCTTCAGCCGCCGCTGCAGCTCTAACCCCACCTTCCACTACCGCGTTCCGCTCTCACCAGCGGCTCTCCGCCGTCTAACGACTCCGTCTGCCGTTCGTCCGCTCCCTCAGTCCTCCGCCGAGAAGCCTGGTGACAATATCGGGGTTGGGGCTAACGAAGTGGCGGCGGTCTTTGGTGCTGGCTCTTCTGGCCTTGGGACTAGCTCCGGTGGTGGTGGTGGTGGCGGTGGCTCGTCTTTCGATTTCCTCAATCCTCAGGTGTGTGTTCGCCACTTCCCCCTTACCTTTCTTTGCCTCTCGTTTAGTCTCAGATCTTGTTATTTTATTATGATCTCAGCCTAGTATAGATTTCCTAATGCGAGTTTACGAACGTAAAGTTAACTGCTGGCTTCGTCCGATTCGTCCCGCGCTGAAGCTTTGTTACCCCTATTCATTACATCCTATTACCTGTCAGTCGTCATACTGTTGCATCCATGATGTTTTGCGGTTCTTCCCCGGTTCATTATTTTTTCAGTTCCCGGGTCACTTTCTGTCTCCGTTGCTTCCTTCGCGGTGCTGTCTCTCTCATAAAATTCTCCAATCTCTGCTGCTCTCCCTCGAATCTCCCCTCCCACCCCCCCGTTCCCCTCTCCGTCCGCCAACCAGAGACCAGCTCACTCCCAGCATCACCCCTCCCCCCCTCATCCATCCTTCTCCGCTGGGGACGGGGGAATGGGGGAGCGGGCGCGGGCGGAGGGGGGATGGGAAGCGCTAGCATGAGCGGGGGGGGTGTGGGAAGCGCGAGCATGAGCGGAGGGGTATGGAAGCGCGAGCATGGGAGCGGGGGGAGGGGGGATGCGCGCAGCAGCAACGCGCGCGCGCCAGCGACAGCGGGGGACCTGGCGCAGATAGCGGCGGAGCTGTCGACCAGCATGGAGCGCCTGCTGCATCGGTTTCAGAGGGGGTCGCGGCGGCTGCTGGTGACGCGAGCAGCAGGGTGCGGCGGGTTGAGGCGGCGTGGCAGCGCTGCAGGGCGCGGTGGACCGCTCTGCTGGGGATGATGGGGACAGGCATGCGGAGCTGGACACGAGGCTGCGATCTGTGGAAAACGTGTTGCTGGAGGTGAGTGGTTGGTTGGATGGAATGGCCGTTTTCCTGTGTGTGGCAGCGCTGCAGGCGCCTGGACCGCCCTGCTGGTGATGACGGGGACAGGCACGCTGAGCTTGACACTCGACTCCGGTCTGTTGAGAACGTGTTACTGGAGGTGAGTGGTTGGTTGGAATGTCTGTTCTCCAGTCCGGTGGCAGATCTGCTGGGGGCCGTGGACCGCCCTGCTGGTGATGATGGGGACAGGCACGCTGAGCTTGACACCAGGCTGCGATGGGTTGAAAACGTGCTGCTATATGTGATTCGTTGCTCCTTGTGTACCTTCCAGATTTTTTATTCTCCTCCGCTCTCTGTGTGTCCTCTATCTCTGCCTGCACCGCCCTCAGGTGCAGCGCAACCTGCAGGTGATGAGGGACAAGCAGGAGCTCGCCGAGGCTCAGGCGGAACTCTCCAAGCTCAAGTTCCTCGCCCTGCCCGCCCCCCCCGCCACCGCTGCTGCTGCTGCTGCCACTGCGGCTCCCCAGCACCAGCAGCTGCTGCTCCGCCGCCTGCGGTGGTAGAGGCAGCAGCACCAGCACCCTCTGCTGCGTCTGCCCCCCCCTGTCCCCTCAGCCCCCCCTGAAGCCTCCGCCCCCCTCCTCCTTCCCCCAGCCCCTGCCCCACGCCCCTTGCCCCTGTGCCTGCTCCTCCCCCTGCTCAGTACCAGATTGCTGCTGCGCCAGCCCCACCACAGCTGCAGCAGCAGCAGCAGCCACAGCAGCAGCCGCAGCCTCAGCAACAGCCTCAGCAAAGCATGGCTCCTCCTGCTCCAATGTACCCCCAGCAACAGCAGCAGCAGCAGCAGCAGCAGCAGCAGCAGCCTTATGCACCCCCCCACCGGCTCCTGCTGTGCCCCACCTCCCTACCCACAGCAGCAAGGTGGATACGGCATGCAGCCTCAGGGGCAGGCGCAGCAGCAGCAGCAACAGCAGTTGTCTCTGCCCCCGCCACCTCAACAGCAGCAGCAGCAGCAGCTGGCGCTGCCACCACCACCACCCAGCAACAGCAGCAGCAGCAGCCGCCGCCGCAGCAGCAGCCTGGTCCACAGATGTATCAGTCAGCACCCCCAATGCCCCAGCAGGCCCCGCACCTTACAACCCCAGCAACCCGCCTCTTCCCCTTCTTCCTCCGCCCCCGCACCCCCCCATACGGCTCCATGCCCTCCTCACAAGGCATGTATGACCCTGCTGCAGCTGCTGCTGCTGCTGCTGCCGCTGCAGGTGGCATGTACTATCAACAGAACGCCCCTCCTCCCATGTCCCAACCACCGATGCACCCTCAGATGCCCCCTCCCCCAGGAGCACCCATGCAGCCACAGCCTCTGCAGCAGCCCCCCAGCAACCACCCCAGCAGTACATGCAAGGGCCATCCCCACCCCGCTCCCCCACCTGCCTACGGCGCTCCCCTCCCCCCGCCACCCCTCCCCCAGCCCCCAGGCATGTATAGGGTGGCCCAGCCCCCCCTCCGTCCATCCCCCCTACTGCAGGCCCCGCTAGTGGTTACAGGCGTATTCCTATGGCTCAACCTGTGAGCGGCAGTGGCAGCGGCGGTGGGGGAGGGAGAGGCGGGAGCGGAGGGGAGGAGGAGGGGGGGAGGGGGTAGTGGGGGGGACACAGCAAGAGTGCCTTTGGAGAAGGTGGTTGATGACGTGGCAGCTATGGGATTCCCTAGGGATAAGGTGCGCATGGTGGTGCAGCGGCTGATGGAGAGGGGCAAGTCGGTGGACCAATGCGGTCATAGATGAGGTGATGAATGGCGGGGGCGGGGGAGGGGGAGCAGGGGGTGGGGGTGGTATGGGCGGTGAGAGGAGAGATGAAGCATGATGGTAGCTGATGGAGAGGGGCAAGTCGGTGGGCCTGAATGTGGTGATTGATGAGGTGATGAATGGGGGGGCGGGCGGGGGCGGGAGGTGGGGTTGGTACGGCCGGTGAGTGGTGGAGCAAGTGTGAAGGTGGTGGCTGATGGAGAGAGGCGAGTCGGTGGCCTGAATGTGGTCATAGATGAGGTGCCGCGGGGGTGGGGGTGATGGGGGAAGAGGAGGGGTGGGGGGGAAGAGGAGGGGGTGGAGGTTGGTATGGGCGGTGAGGGGTGGGAGTAGATGGTGAGAGGTTGGGCAGACGCAGATGTTGGTGATCGTGCTGGTTGAGTGAGGAAACGTGGGTGGCAGAGGCTGTGGAGAGAGGCAAGTTGGGTGGATTCAAATGCGGTGATTGATGAGGTGATGTACGGAGGGGATGGGGGATGGGGAGGAGTAAGGGGGGGAGAGGAGGGGGAGGGGGAGGGGGAGAGAGAGGGGGAGGAGGGGGGGGAGGGGGAGGGTACGGACAGTGAGAGAGAGGGTGGGCAGAAAGGGGTGGGTGGGGCTGGTGCGCATGGTGGTGCAGATTCTAATGGAGAGAGGCAAGCAGGTGGACCTGGATGCGGTGATTGATGAGGTGATGAACGAAGGGGGCGGGGGTGGAGGAGGGGCGGGGTGGGGCGGGGGAGGGGGCGGGGGGAGGGTGGTTCGCGGCGAGAGGTGGGTGGGAGTGATGAGATGAGTGAGTCAGATCAGATGGTGACAAGTGTATGGATGGAGGGGGGGGGGGGTGGCAGCATGGCATGCTGGTGAGGAGTAGGAGGGGTTTGAGGGGAGCAGCAGCGAGGACGGGGTTGCAGTATGTGGTGTGCGTGATGGCGAGGGGAATACTTGTGGATAGGATGATGCATTGAGAGAGACACAGTGAAGTGACATGACATGGTTGTGGTGAGAGCGAGATTGGGCACGGGTACGTTTTTGGAATCAAGACTACCAGTTGAAATTTATGTTATATTCACCAAGGCAGAGGTGTGACTGTTTATTGGCCTACAGTTTTTGTACCTATCAGGATGAAGCATCCTGATTGATCTGTTAGCATCATACCTCATGATTTACACATGATTCTCCGGTTACCTAGGCATCAGGTCAGGCTATCTACCGGTACCAGGATCCCCATTTATAATTCTATAAATAGAGCCAAGCATGACATGGATGGACCGAGCAGGGAGGAAGTGCCTCAAGGACTTGAGCGTTTTCTGAAGTGTAATACTACACCGAGTAAAGCCGTATCGGTACGCGAGTCAACGGAGGTTACACGAGGAGGTTGGACGAAAGAACACGAAAGGACGAAAGACTTGAAGGGTCGCAACCGGAGGTTGCGACTGACCGTTACAACTGCAATGGTGGTAACCGAACCGACTATCAAGTCGCTGTGCGACTCGATAACCGTTCCTTCAACCGTATTCCACAACTGCTTTAACCTTCCTGTTTTTATATATATTACTGTATGCTTGTTTTCTTCTAATCAATCACTTGCTCTCACATACTAGTGCAAGGGTTCAACTACTCAACTTCCGCTGCACTACTCAAGTATCTTGTACAACTGGGACTTAGTCTCTGAAAAGATCCTAAGGGCTTTCTCAGCCCAACATGGTATGAGCTGGTCAGAGATCAAACTCCCAGCAACAAAGCTCTATCTACAGTTAACACATCAACAAGCTTTATCAATTAAAGTCATGGACAACAAGGGCAAGAAGATCTCCACGGGCTCACCCAGCGCCCAAGACACTCAACCCGGCAACTCGGACTACGCACTTCAGAACTGCAAACCGAGACCGGCGCTCTCAAGAAACAACAGGAAGGGCACCGGAAATGGTGACCCATCACCCTCTTCAAGCGTGGACCCGAACCTCATGGAAAGGTTCTTCAGCTTCATGTCGCACTTCGACCAGCAGCAGCTGACAAGGACACCTGCACATTCAACACAGAGCAACAGATGACACATGGGATTACCACCAATAAACCTCGACAACTCATCGTTCGGGCGACACAATCAAGCGCCTACCTTTGCGCCTTACACTCTTCACCGGGGACGTTAGAGTTCATGCGCCCCGTGCCCAACCAACAGCAGCGGCATCACAACAGACACCAAATGAGATATTGAGTCTCCAGGCGCAGTTTTCACACGTGATCAAACTGCAGACATCCTCACCGTTCAACGGACACGACTTTTTTACCTTGAGCTTCGAGTTCGAGCTGCTGATGAGGCCGCGTATCTCTTGGGATACTTCAACGAGTCCCTGCCATTTCCAAGCAATGGCACTGCAAAGGAGCAGGAAATCTTCACTTATCAGTCGCTGCTGGCGTACACAGTTCTCATGCGGAACCTGTCACCACAAGAACAACAAAGCATCAGAACGTATCGGAGCTACGGAAACTCCGCGGAGCTCGCATGGCATCACCTCAAGTGTCTCTACCCAAATGACAGCGTGACACAAAGCAGACTCATGCAGCAATTGACAACAATACAAATGAAAACCGGGGAAAAGGCGATGCAGTATATGAGTCGCTGCCAGACACTCCGCGACCGCCTGCTTCGGTGCGGAGGTACAATACTGAAGAAGCTTCGTGACACTTGTCCTCGCCGGGCTCGGGCCAGAATGGAGAACCACCCGCTCGCTTCTTCGCGCCCATGGACGAATTTCGATGCACCTGCGCCGAGCTTCATGCTGAACAACAAGAGATGGACCTGTTTGAAGAAAGACAACCAAGAAACAAGCAGCAACCGTTAGTCTTCTATGCTCAACGAAGAAACGACAACTACAATCGACGTGACAAGCAGAATCGACACGACACCAAAGGACTCACCATCGTGCCGCCGTTCTACCACAACTGTCAGACATCCGGACACTCTAAAGTTAACTGCACACGCCCCGAGTTTATCGTCCAGTAGACCCACAAGTCGCTTCCACTCAAGAAAGTCCGCCAAGGCGTTCCTCCACATCTGCACAGGGCACACCGAACATCATCAATTGTATGGTACGCATCGTCAACTACGCACCTGGATCACCACCCACTTACGCTCCAGACGAAGAAGAACTGCCGCGCTCACAAGGCCTTCAAGTCAACCCGACGTACGCTGCAGTCGCCAACGCCGAACCCACCGAGCAAAACACCTGGTTCTTGGAAAGCTGTTGCGGTCAACATATGTGTTCTTCCGGGCGCTTCGTGCAACGAGAACGTCGTCTCAACCGCGATGTCATCATCACCGTCGCCAACAACGAGAACCTGAAAACAAACAGACAAGGAGTGGTCCAATTTCAGTCCATGGAGACAAACGTCATTCTGCAACTCAACAAGGTTCTAATCGTCGACAACTTGGGATACAACCTACTAAGCGTCATCCAGCTAATGGCAAAAAGGATTCACCTGGAATGCGACTCGGACTCCAATGAGTTCCGCCTTTACCACGGGAAGGGCAGCCTCTTCATCAGACGTGCTCTCCTGAAGTCGGGTGTCTTTGTGTTGGATTTCGTCCCCGACCGCAGTACTGCCGACAGCGATGGCATCGTGTCATTCGCCGCCTGGACGCACCCGCCGGATCTTGATCCCGACTTCACCCCAGATGGATTCTGGTACTCCAACACCATACCTGCAGCAGAGAGAACGCGAGCGTTAGCAGTCATCCGACAAGAAAGACAAGTACCAGCAAGCGTCCCTTCACCGACATCACCTGCAGTAGCAGCAGCAGGATCCAGCCGTGTACCATCACCAGCAATCCGAGGACCGCCAACCGAAGCAGATCAACTTATGCCCATCACCCGAGAAGTCTGCCGAAGTCCCGCCACGGTCGTCGCGTTCTTCTCCAACCCGACATGTATCAACGCTCACCCGGCCATCACGCTCGTGACGACATATGGCATCAACGCCTCGGGCATCCTGCAAACAGCACAGTGCTACAAACCATACAAGCCGAAGTGTTAGAAAGAAACGCCCTTCTCACAACGAGCGGCCAAGAACTTCGACGACCCCGCGCCCGATGCTTCACGTGTCCTGAGGCTGACCTTCCCCACCAACCTTTCCCGTCGCACCACAATCCAAGCGCACCTGCATACGCACCGATGGAAAAAGTTTACAGCGACATCTTAAATATGCCTCGAGATGACAGTGAAGCCGACTACAACTATGTCATCACGTTCATTGACGCAGCAACACGATACGTCTGGCACTACAACCTCAAGACGCGTGATCAAGCATTCGAAGCCTTCACGACATGGCTCCCCATCGCCGAACGCGAATCAGGTTCTCAACTCAAGAGCTTTCAGTCAGACGTGGCACTGGAGTACCAGTCACAAAGGTTCAGGAGCTATCTCACAGAAAGGGGCATCAGACGCCTGGTGTTCCTGCCCTACGCTCACCAACAGCAGGGGGTCGCAGAGAGAATGAACCGGACCTTGCAGACGACGATGCGAAAGCTGCTCCTGGGGATGAGACTGCCCAACACACTGTGGCCAGACGCGATGACGCATGCAGTCCACCTGCACAATTTGCTGTCCTCGTCATCACTTTCCAACAACGCATCACCGCACCTGATGTGGACACAAAAAAGGGCAGCACAAAATTACTTCGAGTCTTCAGCTGCATGGTACAGTACAGACCCCACACAGCTCGAGCAGGATGATTCTCTCAACGAGCACGGTGGGGACTACACCTCGGCATCGCAAAACATTTCCAAGCATGGAAACTCCTCGACATACAAGACAAAAATACCGTGGCCTCACGTGATGTGATTTTCTACGAGCGACTGACGCGCATTACCTGGACAATATCGCCAACACAGAAGACCCCACCGACGGCCTTGAGGGCCTTCGGTCCTTCGCCGATCGTGTTGCCGAAGCTGACGCAGCAAAAGAAGACGTCTCTGAAGCCTCGGAAACTGCCGGACCACCCTTACTGCTCCGTGCCTGTTCCCCTCGACGATGACAATCCTCTCGATAGTAACAACCTCGACACCTATTACCACTTCGCTGACCAAGGTTACGTTACATCCCAACCAGTCGACACGAATGTCTCAGAATGCATCGGACCAAATTTCTTACCTGACCCAGAAGATGGTGACGAAGCAGCCTATCCCGGGAATGAAAATTCCCCTTGACACACACCACGGGCCTGCAGATCCTTGGACTATGGTCACCGTCAAGAGCCCGCCGCCGCCGTCTCCGCACGAGCCAACGACTCTGTCGCAGGCTCTGGGGGGGAACACAAGGCAAAATGGAAGGAAGCAATGGAAAAAGAACTGAAGGCCCTGCAAGACCGAAACACGTGGAAGCTGGTACCCGCAACAAAAACCAACGGAAAAAACGTGCTCTCGGGAAAGTGGGTGTACCGCATCAAGACTAATGCGGACGGCTCCATCGAACGATTCAAGGCTCGCTGGGTCGTATGAGGATTCGATCAGCGATACGGAACCGACTACACAGAGACATTCGCCCCAGTCTCCCGCCACACCTCCTTGCGCATTCTACTCGCCGTCGCGGCCACAAAGAAGCTACACTACGCCAGATCGACGTCGCAAACGCCTTCCTGTACGCACCTGTGGACGCCGAGATCACCGTCGAGCAGCCCCACGGATTCATCGACAATCCCACAAAAGTGTGCCAGCTGATAAAATCCCTCTACGGGATCAAACAAGCCCCGCGGCTCTGGCAGCAGCATCTTCACGGCCGCCTCGTCAAGATCGCTTCCTACAGTTGCCGCACACGACTACAGAAGGTAGGGGGTTTTATCCTACTAATCATCTACGTCGACGACCTGCTCTACATCGGCTCCACTACCGACATGCCACCTGGTTCGAAGGGGAGTTGAGGAGTGACTTGACACTCACGGTGTCTAACACCGTAACTCAGTACCTGGGCCTGAACTTCGTCGAAGACAAATCGGCGTTCTACCTACACGCCGGAAAGTACGCAGGCGTTGTCGCGAAGAAATTTGGACTAACGCCGATCGTAGTTGCGACTCCCTATCGCTACGGGAACGACAACGGCGGAACCTCCGCAAAACTCCCCGCGAAGCAAATCCAGGAATATCAACAGAAACTCGCTGTCTACT